TAAATGTAAATAACGTGAATAATATAGGGAAGTACTGCCACCTTGCCTACTTCTGCCGCCAAGCAATAATGCCAGCATTACTATGTTTCAGTTTTGAAGGGTAAGGGTGCTGGTGAAATTACAGGCATATGAGACTTGTCAACTTATTTCTCAGAGTGACGGGTGCAGTGGCAGTATAAGTTCTGAGTAGCAATGCAACTGTTATGAACAGGCGTGTAGCTTACCATAGTACAAAAAAATCACGAAGAAATTTTGAGCAACGCTGCCAAATTGGAATAGATACAAGTGCCGAGAACTGACGTCCCGGATTTCCTACCACTATTGTGTGTGAATATTGTACATATCGACATATATGCCAGTGTCGAGCTGGATAAGGAAATAACACTGAAACACAGGTGTACCATCTGGTTGTATACACGATGTACCATAACTATGTGACACGAAAGGAAAGCGCTTTAAATACTATAGACAGGATATTTTGTTTCTTGGAGATATTATTTTGCTTAAAGTCTTTTAAAAAGTTGTTATCCGAGAAACGAACCGATCAAATATGTATTTTTTTAAATCTTTACTTATTGGGTGAACTTTTATACAATGTCAAAGTTAAAGTCAAATAATCATTTATTGCAAAATTTTTACACTTGTAAACGTCATTTTTTAAGTAAGGACGATACTCTTTCACTACCCTGACTTCCCTGAGAAGAACAAGCAAGAAACTCTAGGGATAGCTCTTTTCAAATAAACTTAAATGCTATAGAATACATTTTGAATCATATTTGTATGGAATCTAGACTCACGTTGTCTTTCTATACATCTTTATCTACAACACGTAGTCTACAATTTTGTAATATGACTTTTCAATTAAAATACTTATAATGTAAAAACTTGTTGTATACAGTTCCCTATGAAAGAATCGTTTACCTTAGTTAAACAAAAACGTGGTACAATAAGTGTTCAGTTCAAAATAAATGGTCAAAGGAAGCAGTCGTATCATTTCACACCAATCTATTAGTTAATAATACAAAAACAACCTTATTCCAAGAAACATACGGTCCAAACGAGCCGGATTATTGAATAGATTGGTGAGCAAACTCGATGTGCAAATACAAAAGGCGCCCGCATTCCTTAGATTAGAGGACGAGTTTTTTTTAACTTCAAGGGTGATTAGTGAAAGTGGACATAAGTTTAAGTTACGAAATATTGCGTTTTGTTGGGATACGTATTCAAATTTCGGAGCCAAGTATAAGTGCAGAACAAAGTGTATATTTGAGTACTTTGGAAGATGTAGCTGACATGATACAAATAGCGCTAATAAATCTAAAAAAAACCCCGATAAAAGCGAGATTGAAGATTATTGGGATATATTTAAAGAGGCGCATAACGGCGTTGTCAAATGCACACGACGTGATCAAAGAGCAGCAGTACCGTATTTTGTAAATGAAGAGCTTTACAAGACTGAAGAACTACACCTATATTTATATGCGGACTTAACCGATTTGTTGTTAAAGTTCGAGGCACAACCACAACATGGGATGGACACTAGCAATATATTAGGACAAGATTGTAAAACATCGTTTACAAAGTTACATAGAATTCAAATACCTACATTCTCGGGAAAGTATGAAGATTGGCCCACATACCAAGGTTTATTTACGGCACTTGTGCACAATACTAATTTAAATAATGTTCAAAAATTGCATTATTTGAAAACTAGTATATCTGGTGAGGCGGAAATATAATAAGAAATATTCAAACAACAGAAAGTAACTGCAACCAGGTTTGGGAATTGCTAAAAGAGCGCTTCGGAAATAAGACAATGATTGTCAGTTCTTTATTAATAAGATTATTTGAGCAGAAAAAGATCGTCAGTCAGCCGGGTAAATCAAGTCTTTACTCGATACTACAACTGAGTGCCTTAGTAGTTTAGAAAACATGAAAATATCTACGGAAACATGGGATAATAGTATTTTTAGTGGGACAAAAGTTGGACACAGAATCACTTAAAGGCTGGAAAGAACACTCTTACAGAGAGTTTACTGATGAAATGCCTTCAATTGAAATGGGACTTTTTTAATTCTAAAAAAGTTTTTAGAATCAAAATTCCATACACTTGAATTAATCACACCAATTTCTACTGCAAAAGAGAAGGTTCAAACTCATAAGTCATTCCATGTCACAAACGAGGATGAGATAATTGAATCCACTCATACCAGTGTAAATTCAAGACCACAACCTATTTGTGCCTATTTATTGCAACGGCAACGACTACTTATTTAATTGCAAGGATTTCACAAAACAACATGTGGAACAACGTCAAGATTTTGTGAAAAGAAGTCAACTATGTTTTAATTGTCTTATCCCTAATCATACAGTATACCGATGTAAACAAAAAACATCATGTCGAGTTTGCAAAAGTAGACATCATTCACTGTTACACCAAGTTAGAGAAAAAAAGCAAGAAAATGACGAACAAGAAATACAACAAGTACAGCCAGAAGCAAAAATCACAACAACACACATCTCTAGAGAACAACCTGGCAATAAAGTGTTACTAGCGACAGCACAAGTAAAAATTCAGTCGAACAATGGAGATATGCACATACTTCGTGCTTTAATTGATCAGAGATCAGAGGCTTCATTCGTATCTGCAAGAGTAGTAGAGCTGTTGGGTATGACAAAATCCAACATCAGCGGTGTGGTCTCTGGAGTTGGAGAAGGAACTAAGATACAAATAAAACACTTAGTTGATCTATCAGTTTTATCACGATTCAATTCAAATGCCATTCTAGTGAAAGCGTATATCATGAAGAAAATATAAACAATACTGCCTTCGAAACATATCATGATGAACTGCCCAGAGCTTCAAATACTAGAATTGGCGGATCCTACATATCAACGCCGATACAATCGATATATTGCTCGGTGCCGACGTTTTCTGCAAAATTATAGAAAACGGACTAGTTAAAATGCGCGACGGTGTAGTGGCTCAGAAAACAAGTTTAGGTTGGATACTATCTGGTCAAAAGAACGAAGAAAATACACACATTGGTCATCACAATGTCACTACTTTCATGTTACTAGAAGTATCGCAGAAGATAATGATATGCTAAGAAGGTTTTGGGAGATAGAGATAGATGTGTACACAAAAAGGAAGTTATTACCAAAGGAAGAAGAAAAATGTGAACAAATATACAAAAGCACAACTAAGAGAGACGAAACGGGAATATATATAGTACACTTACCTTTGAGACTAAGTATTGAGGGCACTGTTAAATTATGTGGAGAAACAAAACAACAAGCAGTAAACAGATTCAAACATTTAGAGAAAAAAATTTAAAGAAACGAGAAATTTAAAACAGAATATACGAAGGTCATACACGAATATAAGGTAATGGGACATATGAAGAAATCGAAAAATTCAGATGAAAGAACTCAACATATTTACCTCACCACGCCGTCATCCCAGAAGATACTACAAAGGTCCGGGTGGTCTATGATGCTTCTGCAAAGGGTTCTAATGGACATTCTCTGAACAGTACCATGATGGTTGGACTCGTTATACAACCAGATCTCTGAAGTTTGATATGATTGAAGTTTGATGGAGACATAATGAAAATGTATAGAATGATTCCCATGACTGTAGAACATACGCAGCTGCAAAGAATTATTTGGCGAGATAATCCTAGTCAAGAACTTGAAAGTTACAACTTGAAGAAAGTATCTTTTGGTACAGCGGCAGATCCATATTTAGCTGTGCGTACAGCTTTACACCAACTCGCTGATGATGAAACTTAAAACTAGCGAGACACCGCACCTAAAATAAAAAAGTAATTTTATATGGATGATTTGATGATAGATAATGATGATGTAGAAGGCACAAAGAAGTTGCGTGAAAACATTAGGACAATACTTAAAAAAGGAGGATTTCAAATGCAGAAATGGTCAAGCAATTCAGACGAAGTGTTAGCGTATTTACAAGGTGACAACACAACTAGAGACACAGTAGAGGTAAAATTAGACAAGGAATGATGCATTTGAAATCAGAGTAAACCTTCCAGAATTGGTACATCCTGTAACAAAAAGAACAATTCTTTCATATGTGGCCCGTTTATATGACCCATTTGGTTTGTTATCTCCAGTGGTCATCACGGCCAAGGTGATGATTCAAAAATTGTGGCTCTGCAATATAGGATGGGATGATGAACTACCCACAACCGTGAGGGAAAACTGGATAATATATAGAGAAGAGTAAAAATATTTGCAACATATCGCAATACCAAGATGGTTTAAAACAATAAACAAACATTTTCAAAACATACTATTGCACGGTTTTGTAGACGCATCTACTCAAGCATATGCTCCTGTGGTTTGTCTGAAAGTGATAGAAGGAGAAAAGATTTATGTAACTATGATTGCATTAAGAACTAGAGTTGTACCATTGAAACAACTATCAATTCCAAAATTAGAGTTGTGCGCAGCCGCATTATTGGCCGGAGTTATAAATGATCTGGTAGAACTTTTATCCATTCCTAAAAATATAGTTTTTGCCACAGTCGTGTTATCATGGTTGCAATCACATCCCAGCCGTTGGCGAACATTTGTAGCAAACCGGGTTGCAATAATCTAACTATTGCAATAATACTAAAAACTCGGGTGATAGAAAACGATCGTTGGAGACATGTTCACTCTGCTGACAACCCTGCTGATATCGCAACCAGGAGTATTAAATCATGCGAGCTAGCAGCGACAAAACAATGGTGGACTGGACTGGACTGGCTAAATGATGTAAACCTCCAAGTTGAAAGTTATGACATTCCACAAACAGAATTAGAATAGAAAAAATCATTCCACATAATTTGTGAAGAGGATACAATTTGGAAAAGTTTTCAACACTAACTAGAATAAAAAGGTATTAGCATACTGTAGAAGAATCCTAAAGAACGGAAAATCTGAGAATGAATATACCTAACAGCATCAGAGTTGGAAGAAGTATTACAAAGATGCATAAAGTATTATCAAAAATTGGTATATGGAAAGAACTAATGGAATTAAGAAAAGACGGAAGAGTCAAGACTAGAAGTTCGCTTGTCACACTTTCACTTTTCTTAGATGAGAAGGAGTTGATAAGAGTAGGAGGACGGCTTCAACACGTTTCCGTACCTGATACGACCAAACATCCAATTATAATACCTGGAAAACAACACATAACCAAATCAATAATAAATGAAGCCCACATGAAAACCCTCCATGGTGGCATCCAGCTGATGATGGCATATGTGCGAACTAAGTACTGGGTATCCGGACTAAACCAATTTATGGGTCAACTGCCACCAGCCAGAGTAAGTAGGAACCAAGCCTTCATTAATAGTGGAGTGGATTACGCCGGCTCCATATGGATCAGAACTTCTAAGGGCCGTGAACACCATGCCACCAAGGGATATATTTGCCTATTCGTATGTATTGTCAACTCGTGCGATACATCTCGAAGCGGTGTCAGATCTTACCACACAAGCATTCCTTGCTGCATTTCGTCGATTTGTTACCAGAAGAGGTCATTGTGCGAACTTATGGAGCGATAAATGGTACAAATTTTCTGGGCGCTGCTAGAGAGTTGAAGTGTCTGTTCGAAGAAGGCAAGAATAACATGGCTAGAGAAGTAGCTGAAGTTCTAGCAAATGACGGAACAAAGTGGCATTTTATCTCACCCAGAATGCTGACTTGTGGAGGTTTATGGGAAGCGGGAGTGCAATATGCAAAAAGACACCTGACAAGAGTTAACAAAGAGACTAGACTCACTTATGAAGAGATGGCTACCCTACTGGCCCAAATTGAAGCATGCTTCACACTCGCGTCCACTTTGCCAAATTGACAACACGACAGAGACACCACTTACGCTAGGACATTTCTTGGTTGGCGAACCTTTGGTTGGAGTTCCAGAACTGAATTATGAACAAAAAAAAGGTAAGTTCCCTAACAAGATGGCCACTTCTTCTGCAACAGAGATATAAGTGGCAAGTTGCAGATCCATCGCCCGCTATTGGAGATATTGTCATTGTTAAAGATGAGAATTTGCCTCCAACGAAATGATTACTAGGAAGAGTGAAATACCTACATCCTGGTTCAGATAATTTCGTGAGAGTAGTGACTGTACAATGTAACGGAGATCAAGAAGTGAAAAGACCTTTGTATAAGCTAATCCCACTTTAAATCAAATAATGATTAATAATTTACATTATTAAGGTATTGTATTAATTTATGTCTCAAAACGATGCATGTTTACTTTAGATAGTTAAGTCTACGTTTGGTTTTCAAGGATTGTTAACTTTAGTCTATTGTTAAGTTCAAGATTGTTTAAAAACTGTTGTTTTTGGTGGGCAGAATGTTCAGTCTAAAATAAATGGTCAAAGGAAGCAGTCGTATCATCTCACACCAATCTATTAGTTAATACAAAAACAACCTTATTCCGGGAAACAATGAGTTTGGACTTAGTTCTAAGATTCATATTATGGATATCTTGTTTCTTAACGAAATTATGTATATTTTTACGGACATACAAAATATTTGAGTAAATGTACTGTGATGCCATTGTCATGATACCAGTCTCCTTAAATTTTTCTCTGAGAGGAACTCAAGAACCTAAACGGTACACAGAACGAATCGCTCGTTGAATGTATAATGCCAGTTTAATCGTATCCTAAACTATATCTTACATGTCTGGGCTGCTGGAGGGCTGATTCAACAAATATTAACTGCCTTTCTGTGGGGATTGCTTAGTATACAATTTGTAGCACCTACGGATGTTCGGTTAATCTGCAGGTCCCTCATTAACGCCGCCCTCTGTTGCTCGTACTGGACACATTTCAGTAACAAGTGATATGCATCTTCCACTACTCCACATAACTCGCAATTAGGAGAACTGTTTTTTTTTTACATTAAGAAAGCAAAACAGTTTAATGGAACGTGTCCGGTTCTCATCCTTAGTGTGATGGCATCTATTTTTCTACCATAGTTGCACTCTGCAAACCAAGGTAAATGAGGGGTCAAGTGTTTGATGTGTAAAAATAAACCATGTTTTTGTAATAATCAAGTGACGGGATGAACAAGTCATGCGCCAGGGGTTATGAAAATGAGTTTGGTTCCTACACGCTGTCCATAACAGTTGCGGTGTCACTTAGAGCTTTAAATCACAAAGATCTGAGGGGCACCGCGACTGCGCTTACCACCTTGGTACATAAGTTGCCAAGTCCCATGTGTCTGTAATTTCACCAACCCCCTTATCTTTCGAAACCGAAACGAAGTAATGCTCACATTACTTCTTCGCGGCAGAAATTGGTGAGGTGGCAGTACTTGTCTAAACAAATTCTTTCACAAGAAACTCCACTGCTACTCATACAGGAATACAATAACTAACATTATTATTAAACAATGACATTTCTACATTATTTTATTGTCCCATGTACAACTTCTCAATAGATAATATTACAGTTTTATAGTCATTGACTTACAAATAAATGGACGACGGGTCTAATACAAAAACCACGAAAAAAATGTCCCAAGTCAACCTATTTAAACGTAGTGACATGTAAAGGAATTTGAAAAAGCTAAAACGTTGAATTCAAATTGTAATGTCATCGCAGCACTGTCTAATTTTGCTTGCTTCGCTGTCAGAAGAAATAAACGAAGACTAAAGCGTGAATGACGCTCTGTATGCGATTTTAACGCCCTATAAGTTCGGACACTTTTTAGCGCGGACCCGACGTCCATATAATTGTAAGTCAATGGTTATAGTACACATATTTACCACTTTCCCACTAAGATCGTAAACATTTTTGAATGTCGGCCTGTTTTGAACAAAACGCCTTGCAATATTCTCCGACAATGTTAAACGTTTCGTAGCCCCTTCTTGAGCACGTACTAAGCAACTGTCTTTTTCACTCTAATGAAAACGACATTATTCTGTCCCGTTTTCGCCCCGAAAAGTATCTAGTTATGATGACAGTGTTAGAAAATCAACGGTGGAAGAGAAAAAGGTGAATTTGTTGGCAGCGGCGTTACAGTCTGAGTTAATGAGTTCAATTTGAAAGTTCATAAGAATAAAGTCTTTCTTTATGATACTCAGGGTCGTATTCTAGAACTCTACTCAATGCTCAAGTCAGGATTTGAGTATGGTTTAAAGCACTCGAAATCATACTCAAGTCCCTGCCATTAGGGTCGTATTTCCAGTGCTGGAAATCATACTCAGATCCTGACTTGAGCGTTGAGTAGAGTTCTGGAATACGGCCCTAAGTGGCGGGGACGAACAAGTCGTACGCCAGTTTCTGTGGCACTAAGAGCTTTAAATCGCATAGATCTGAGGAGTAATCTTACTGCGTCCGTCACCTTGTGACATAATTTTACAAGTCCATGTGCCAGTCATTTCACCAGCACCCTTAACCTTCGAAACCGGGATGCAGTAATGCTGACGTTACTGCTTGGCGGCAGAACTATGTAAGATGGCCGTATTTCCGAGGTTGAACTCTGTCACGAGAAGCTCTATGCCACTACGTGAAGATCCTTTCTACATAACGTCATCACTATAGTAAATAGAATCGTACGTAAAGCTATTGAAACTAAAAAACACAGTAATTTCAAACGAGAAGACGGTTTTCAGCTTTCATCGTCATGGGATCCAGTTGTCATCAAATGTAAACGACGTCAAGTATCGCCCGACAAGTCGCCGAATGTCGTGAGTGTTGTGTGTCGATCTAGTGAGAACCCTAGTGCACAAATAAATAACGAAGATCAAGTGCGGATAGTTAGAAAAATTCGCACGGCTAGAAGATGCTGACACACGCCTCTTCAGTCCCTTCGAGACCATGGACGTTGCAATGCACCCGAAACGTCGAGGTAATTAAAATAAGTTTTTATAGGTACGTGATTAAGGATCGTATTCTAGAACTCTTCTCAATGCTCAAGTCAGGATTTGAGTATGGTTTAAAGCACTCGAAATCATACTCAAGTCCTTGCCATTAGGGTCGTATTTCCATTTTTTTCCATTTGCTTGAAATCATACTCAGATCCTGACTTGAGCATTGAGTAGAGTTCCGGAATACGACCCTGAGTCCCGAATTAAATACCAAATAATTTGTTCGTAGTATTTTGAAACCTCTTTCCTGTAAAGTTGTCATTTTGCAGACTAGCGTCTGCATCTTTCTAGCGTCAGCGGCTTGCTAAAGCACGCACAGCGTCGACAGGACTTCCGCGTGGTGGCGTCGCAACGCCACCACTGAGCGACTGCGGAAAAGTGCCAAACGTCGGTTATACGACGCACTGACGTCGTGTCGATGTTGTGCGTGTGTGGGGGTCTCTTACACCTAAGGAGTGCGAATTCCGTGATTTCAGACGGACGTATTTATTTAATCATAATTTCCGTACATTTAAGTACTTTCAATGTCAAAGATAATGTTAGAAAAACAAATGTATTAAAATGTATTTTAAACTAATAATAAAGAAAAATAGTACATACAATAAAATAACATTATTAAAAAGTAAAAATCTGATAAATTAGATAAAAGAACGCTGGGTTAGCGTTTTAGCTTAAAGCGAAAGGAAAAGCTAAGCAAAAGAAATTTAGCTTAAAGCGCTCGGAGCGCTGGTGACATCATTATGGCTGGTGGTTGTATACGCGATGGCTCATGAATGGTCTACTTTTTTTATAATACGAAATGACAGGACGAAAAAGTCGTGCGCTTGGTGGTAAGCGACACGCCTATTCATAATAGTCGCAGTGCCATTCAGAGCTTTAAATCGCAAAGGCCCTGCTACTGCGCCCGCCAGGCTGAGACATAAGTTGACAAGTCCCATGTGCAATTTCAATGTGTAATTTCACCAGCACCCTTAACCTTTTAAACCGGAACGCAGTGCTCACATTATTGTTTGGCGGCAGAAATAGGTAGTGGCAGTACTTCCCTGGGACGAGATATTTCACAAGGACCGTTGGCGGCTCCCGTATCACATCGTGTCCCGCTCATTGTTGCATCTTTTTGAGAACTGTTGCAAATACCTACTACTGGCACATACCCACTCTACTTCGATTTTTAGTGATAGTTTCAAGATATTATTTATCAAAGTTGTACTAATTGGTGACATAGACGTACATAGATAATTTATGAGGTTCTCATATAACGTTTCTATGACTACAAACATTAATGTTATCTGTGCAAATTGCGTTGTACATTGTACAGCATTACACCCAAGAGAACTTAACGTGCAGTCGTAATAGTGCAATTTGAGAACAAAAGCCACGGTGCGTTTAGAGTAGAATAGTGTTGTGATGTTATGGTACGTAATGTCCGAAACTTTTTAACATTTGATTTATGATGCCTTTTATGGATATGTCGAGTTATAAGTTTTCGCGAAAATACACTTAGGAAATGAGACTACTTTCTAATATCTAAATCGCGTATGTTTGTTTTTTCAACCAAGGTAAACTTTTAAACTCATTACAGGTCCTTTGGTGATGGCTGATTGAATGCAAACCACGCCATTCTGAACTATAGTTACAAAAAATTATAATTGTTTCTACCCACAGACATAAATATCTAGATAAACGCCGCAAGTACGGCAATTTGTATGAAAACCAAGCGTACCCATTTTGACGTCACAAGAACTAATTAGTGATGGAAACGGGAGGTTTCCATCACTCTAAATCGATTGATTAAACGGAACACGCGTAAACACGCGTATTTCATTCAATTAATCGATTATAAATAGAATAATTTTGTTCAAGTGTTTGTTGATTGAAAATACTGGAATAAGATAGGTACGTCCTTTATTTTACTTGTTTTTAAGAAATGTTGTTTAAGGCCCATTTAGATGGAGAGAGTTTCT